ATATATGAAAAATAAATTTTTTTAATACTCTTATTTACGGGAGAGAACATAAAAAAGAGAATAAAAAATTATTATAATAAGAAAATTATGATAAAGATAGAACATGTGATGGAGAGAGATTATATTAAAATATTCTAAAACATTTACTCCTCCGGTCTTTAATATAAGACCCATGTAACTAATTTGTTTAAATTAAAGAAGTTAGGTAAGTTAGTTAATTATAAGAAAAGTGACATATTTTTCCTAAAACACTATAATTATTTTTCTTAATACCCCCTCTCCATCTTCTACTTGATTATGGTTGAGAGAGTGTCCATAGGAGTAATTTAGAGAAAATTGATAAATATGAGAAATGAGTCTTATATTTAGAATCAAAACCTACTCAAGAATTGGGTCCTAGATTAAGGACCGGAGGAGTATTATCTAAGAAATGATGTTTTGTGAAACAAAAAACTAATATATTAGCTATCAAAATAAGTCTTTAATAGGGAACAAAATGGAAAATCTGTGACAAAAATTTAAGACAACTTACAAATATTACTTATATTTAGGGGATAAGGAAAGAATGATAGTTGTTGCTTATAACAAATAAGAAACAAGAAAATAAACTAGATACTAAACCAGTTGAGGTAGTGGTTTAAGGGTTTAGATTGGGATCAAACTAGAATCAAAACCGATGACATTAAGTAGAATTTAATTGAAATAACAAAATATAACAACATTACTAATCACTAATAACAAAAGATAAGGAAATGCAGCAATAATTTGATTGTAACATTGAGAATTTTGATCTTTCTGATTTCTCAATAACTAAAATTAATAATCATTAATACCAAAATCATCATTAAAATTCATTCAAATATGTAGTAATTAAAATATTAGGAGTTGAATAAGAAAAAATAGGATTAATAACAAAATAATCATCCAAATTGATTCATCATCAGTTTACACTGGTTTGCATTGGTTTACACCAATTTGATCAAGATGATGCTGGTTCAGTTTTTGCCAGGTTCATTACTTAAATCAAACCGGACCAATGGTTACCGATTTTCTGGTTGAACAGGCTAGTTCGGTCCCGTGTTTTTTCACTGATAAAAAAGATGAAGGAGGTACTATCTTCGAACTTCAATAGTGCCTCTGGTTCAAAATGTAATTTTGTTAGAGAGATTTGATTTTCTTGTAAAATATATTTAATTTTATCTAATCATGTAATTAGATTTTTTTTTTTCAATTTTACCTCTAACACTCTCCATATTATCACCTGTACATCCCATATATTCTCTTTTTTTTTTAAAAAAATTATTGTTTCTTTTACTTATTCTCTTCACTAATAAAGGTATATTGAGAAAAATATATATATGCCTTATATATTTATTGTTCTAAACTAATTTATACAGATTTTTGAAAATTTTAAATTGATTAAATGATATTTATGTTTTGAAATGGAGTGAGTATAAAATCTAAATAATTAATTTGTAAATATTAATAAAATTATTTTAGTTAGTTATCTGTGAACTGCACGCTTTAATTATGTGGGTTGGAACTATCATTTGATTGGAAGCCTCCTTAATAATAATATGTGTAATCAATAAAGATACTTTGAGTGAAAAGATTATAAATTTGAGAGATAAAATTAGATATATAAATATATATAATCTGTTAGAAATTAATATAAAACATCACTTTTATAGATTTTTATTAAAATATCTTATAATTTTTTTTTTAACTTTTTATCTTTTGCATTTCACATTATTGAACTTGAAATAATAAATATAAAGAATTTGATGTAAATATTTTTATTTAATTATATGTATTTTGGTTGGGAGTATCCAAATAAATCCAGCCGAAATATCTAAATTTTAAATTGAGACTTACACTTTTAACAAATTCTTAATAAGACTGTCAGGCCTAATCAGAATTTTTTGAATATTATTAAATAACTAGAATGACCCTCTTTAATTAAAAGAAAAAATTGATTATCTTTTATGATTATTTTTTGGGACAAAACATGTAAATTATTTTACAGTATTTAAAATTTGTATATATAACTAAAACTATTAAAAATATTTTAATAAAAAATGTTAAATTAGAAATATAGGTAGCCTTTAAATAAATTTTTATTTTCATTTCTGATCATCTACATTAGTTTTATTTATTAGCAATGTTGGATTCAACTGAAAACGTAAATTATAGCAATTTAATATTAAATATTTCTTATAATTAAAATATTGGGAAAATCCCAGATAAAGCCTTTCGAATATACATAATTTCAGATTGGGTCCTGGAATTATGTAAATGATAGAAAGGGTCAATGACCCAATCTGACCCAATCTGACATTTTTAAAATTAAGGGCAATTGACAATTTTGTCATGATTGAGCAAAAGTGAGTAGTTATTCTCCAAATGAATCTAGATAATGCTTATACTGTTATAGTGATTATATGATTAGTTGTAGTTAATAACAAGACATCTTCTCATGGGGTATTCCTGATGACGAAAAAAATGAATAGTTATTCTCTACACGAATCTAAGTAACACATAAACCCTTATAGTGATTCCTTAACTTATTGTAATGAATGAATACAAATAAAAGTAAAAGTGAATAGTTATTCTCTAAACAAATCTAGGTAATGCTTATACTGTTATAGTGATTACATGATTAGTTGTAGTTAAACAAGGCACCTTTTATCGGGCATTCCTGACTACAAAAAAATAAATAGTTATTCTCTACATGAATCTAGATAACACCTAAACCCTTATAGTAATTTCTTAAATTATTGTAGTGGATGAATACAAATGAGGACAAAATTGTCAATTATATTGTTCTTAATTTTAGAAATGACAGATTGGGTCATTGACCCTTTCTGTCATTTAGACAATTTCAGGACCCAATATGAAATTATGTATATTCAAATAGCTTTATCTGGAATTTTCCCTAAAATATTTTAAAATCTTAAAATAAATATTTACAACCTGAAAATAAACCATATTTATTTAAATACTATTTATATTAGAATTTAAAATTTTTTATTAAAATATTTTAAAGGTTTTTGTTATATGTACAAAAATTCAAACACTGAAAATTTTTTATATGTTTTTTTTGTTTAAACATTAATAATAAGAGATGATGAATCACTTGGAAGGGAAAAAAATAATCAACTTTATTTTTAATTAAGCAGGTACAAACTTGTTCCTGATTAAGAATTTATTAAAAATATATGTCTGGATTTGGATTTAGATACTTCGGATGGATTTGATTAGAATTCTCTCTTTTATTAGTCAGCGTCATATTAATATTATTATAATACATTAAATCTCAATTATTTGGACTGCGGTAAAGACGATAAGTCAAGAGGAAGCGGATAGAAAGCAAAACGGAGGCTTAAAAACGCTCTTAATATGCTGTTGGAAACCAGCCAAATCAATCCATCCACTGGATTGGTTTTAAACACATTTGCCTCTTCATTTTGGGAAAATTGGGTATCTCTCTCCACTATTTTTTTTTTGGTAATATATCTCTCTCCACTATGTTAGGTGCCATTTGGAATTATAGTTAAAATCATTTATAAGCATATTTTATATAAGTTGAAGCAAAATTTTTTGCTTTTTTTTTTAATTTTGTAAATAACAATTGAAAAAATATTTACAAGTCATTCCAAATGAAAGTTAGAATTATTTATAAGCATATTTGATATAAGTCGAGGCAAAACTCCTCGCTTATTCTTATTTTGTAGTTCGTAAATAATACTACCTCCTGTTCTTAATATGAAACTTCGTTTGATTTTTATTTTGATCCTAAATATAAGACCCTCATTCATTTTATCTCTCATATTTATGTATTCTTTTCCTAAAATAGTTCTTATAATAATGGTAATTTTAACTAATACACTTGATTAGCAAAGATATTTTAGAAAAGACAACATATATTTATTACAAATAACTAACTTAACTTATTTCTTTAATCTTCTCAAATTAGTCAACTAGCTCTTATAATTAGGACCGGAGGTAGTAATTGAAAAAATGTTCATAAGTAATTCCAAATGAATCCTTAATATCTATAGTATGTTATATTATACGGTCTTAGGAGCATATGTACACACACAAACATATTGGCGCATTACAAAAAATTCTTTTGTAGAGTTGGCCAACAACGATTTAGCTGAAAATATTTTTGAATCAAAACATTAAAATTTGGAGAAAAAGTAATTTCTATTTAAAATGTTTCAGGATAATTTAATTGGGAGTAATTTTTTATATAAGTAAATTAAATGCTAAAATATACATTTAGTCTTTTAATTTTATTTAATAATCCTAAAACAATTAAGCTTAAATTGAAAATTAAACTGAATATGTTAACATCTAAGAATATTTTATTAATATTTAAGATCTCAATATAACCATTTTTGTTAATAGATCTACGGTTAAATAATTAAAAATATATTTTTTAAAATTAAGAAATTAGATCGAAATCCCATATAAATCTAAATTAAAAATAGCTAATATGCATCATCTATGTTAGTTTATAATTTATAAAAGTTTAACAAAAAAATCAGGAGGGTTGGAAAAAAAAAAGCTATTTACTTAATTATTAGTATAAAATATTATGATTATTAATCATAAAATAAATAATTAGATCAACAAATAAAATTGAATATGGAAAAAAATATACGAAAACGGAGCGCGGAGGGGATACAAGTAAACATTTTGGTCGGTAGCCGTTTCTCTCCAGAACAATCTAGTTGGACCTAATTCCAGTTTTAAAGATCCTCTCTTCAAAGCCGTGGCTTCTACTAATCTCTCGAATTTTCTTCCCCGCTTTCTTTCTTCCTATATATTTTCTTCCCTCCGCTTCCCCTCTGCCAATCACAACTGATTCCAAGAAGTCGGTGTCTATCCCCAATCACAAGCATTTTACATACCGTCAACTTCAATCCTCGTTTTTTCTTCTCTTCTCATAATCTCCAACTTCTATCGTCCTTTCGTCCGAGCCCAGCTTTCTTGCATCAATGGTGGCCAAGACAGAAGGAAAGGCCGTTGGCATTGACCTCGGCACCACCTACAGTTGCGTGGGTGTTTGGCAGAACGACCGTGTTGAGATCATAGCTAATGATCAAGGTAACAGGACCACTCCTTCCTATGTTGCTTTCACTGATACAGAGCGTCTCATTGGGGACGCTGCCAAGAACCAAGTCGCCATGAACCCACAGAACACTGTTTTCGACGCCAAGCGACTCATCGGCCGACGATTCTCCGACCCTCCCGTTCAAAGCGATATGAAGCACTGGCCGTTTAAGGTTGTCTCTGGTCCCGGTGATAAGCCTATGATCGTGGTTCAATACAAAGGAGAGGAGAAACAGTTTGCCGCTGAAGAGATTTCTTCAATGGTGTTGACGAAAATGAAAGAAGTCGCAGAGGCATATTTGGGTCAAACGGTGAAAAACGCTGTGGTTACCGTTCCTGCATATTTCAATGACTCTCAGAGACAGGCTACGAAGGACGCCGGTGCTATTGCAGGGCTTAATGTGATGAGAATCATCAATGAGCCTACCGCGGCAGCCATTGCTTATGGTTTGGACAAAAAGGCTTCAAGGTCTGGAGAACAAAACGTCCTTATCTTTGACCTTGGAGGTGGAACTTTTGATGTTTCATTGCTCACAATTGAAGAGGGAATCTTCGAGGTGAAGGCTACTGCTGGTGATACTCACTTAGGAGGTGAAGACTTTGATAATAGGCTCGTGAATCACTTCGTGCAGGAGTTCAAGAGGAAGCACAAGAAAGATATCAGCACCAATGCAAGAGCTCTGAGAAGACTGAGGACTGCTTGTGAGAGGGCGAAGAGAACTCTGTCTTCAACGGCTCAGACGACAATTGAGATTGATTCCCTCTACGAAGGTATTGATTTCTACTCTCCAATTACCAGAGCGAGGTTTGAAGAATTGAATATGGACTTGTTTAGAAAATGCATGGAGCCTGTGGAGAAATGTCTTAGGGACTCTAAAATTGACAAGAGTAGAGTTCATGAGGTCGTTCTTGTTGGTGGATCTACAAGGATTCCAAAAGTGCAGCAGCTTCTGCAGGATTTCTTCAATGGCAAAGAGCTATGCAAGAGCATAAACCCAGATGAAGCTGTGGCTTATGGAGCGGCCGTGCAAGCTGCAATTCTGACGGGTGAAGGGAACGAGAAGGTTCAAGACTTGCTTCTACTTGATGTCACTCCTCTGAGCCTTGGCATTGAAACTGCAGGAGGTGTGATGACGGTGTTGATCCCGAGAAACACAACAATACCTACAAAGAAGGAGCAAATTTTCTCTACATACTCTGACAATCAGCCTGGAGTGCTAATTCAGGTGTATGAGGGAGAGAGGGCAAGAACTAAGGATAACAACTTGCTTGGAAAATTTGAGCTCACAGGGATCCCTCCAGCACCAAGAGGAGTTCCTCAAATCAATGTGTGTTTTGACATTGATGCAAATGGCATATTGAATGTATCAGCAGAGGATAAAACGGCAGGAGTGAAGAACAAGATTACTATCACCAACGACAAAGGAAGACTGAGCAAAGAAGAAATTGAGAGAATGGTGCAGGAGGCAGAGAAGTACAAGGCCCAGGATGAGGAAGTGAAGAAGAAGGTGGAGGCTAAGAACTCTCTGGAGAACTACGCCTACAACATGAGGAACACTATCAAGGATGAGAAATTTGCAGGGAAGCTGGATCCAGCAGATAAGCAGAAGATTGAGAAGGCAATTGATGAAACTATTGAGTGGCTTGACGGGAACCAATTAGCCGAGGTGGATGAATTTGAGGACGAATTGAAAGAATTGGAAGGGTTGTGCAACCCAATAATAGCTAAGATGTATCAGGGTGCTGGTGGCGATGTGCCCATGGACAGTGGTGCAAGCATGCCTAACGGTGGCTACAGCAAATCATCCTCTGGTGGTGCTGGAGCTGGGCCAAAGATTGAAGAAGTTGATTGAGTTTTCAACAAGGCTGTCGTTTTGTTCTGTGTCTTGCTAAACTGAGTTTGTGGTGTAAGCTTGTGATGTCCTGTGCTGTGTACTCAGAATGGTCCTGAAAAAAGTTACATCAGTTGTACACTTTGTATTTTGAGTTTTCAATGAAAAATTTAATATTTCATCTCCGCTTTCAATTTTGGTCAGAGAAGATGATAAGTTATAGCGGTAATGGTATGGTGGCTCATATGCTTAGTAAGCTTCAATGCCTCTGTTCAATATCCTACTTTCAACTTTGCTGCTGAGTACCAAATTGCACAGGGGCTGATTTAGGATCCTCCTCCTCGCTAACCTCCTCACTGTGAGAGAACAGAAAGGAGGATTTTTGTTTTCCTGTGTTCAAACGGTTTCGTGTAAGCACAATATAGCTAGCAAGCCTAGGAATTTGTGTTTCACTGTTGATTTTTGTTTCGTTTCTGCAACTCTTGAAAAGTAACAAGCCAGCGTGAGGGCACGAAATTGTGGACTTCATCATACTTGCTCCCTTCATAACACCTGTACAAGAGGAGGCCGTCCTGTCTGGTAATTCTGTTGTCAAGTACAGAAAGGTCGTGATGGAATATCAGATTTAAACTTTGTCTTGTTAGTGGAATGAGCAATTTAAGCATTTCATTTCCAATTTAAAAAAAAAAAAATTCAGACCATGTGGCAGTTCATAAGCTGGTATTCTCTTTTAAGACTCTGAAAATCTCGTTGCTATAAGTATTTTCTTTGTTAATAACTGAACATTACAAACAAAACATGCCAACCATTCTCACATTGCGCTGCAGAATCATTAGACAATGGTCATTGTATTTCTGTAATTTTAATTAAAATTCCAATAATATCAATATCCAATCCAAGCGAAGGGGTGTGAAAGAAAACGAAAAACAGAAGAAAATATGAGTTTAAAAGCAGGGCTTACTTCGGAATTGGGATCATTTACTCCCCTGTTTGTTGGCTCCTCTAGTTTTTAGGTGAAGCCAAATTTGCTTTCGGGATATGCACTATGATTTGCCTGGGGAATAGCTACCGAGCCTTTATGTTGGACTTTCGAGTTCAATACAAATTTTCTTTAATGTTTTAGGAACCTTTTCATCTATATGATTTTTTGTAGAAAATAAGCACGTTGTGTTTCCTCTCGCATGTTTGGATTAGCTTATGATTTCGTGGTTGTGTGGGACCTTATGCCCAGGTCCACCTTTGGGCTCTGAATTTTTATTTTCCAAAACCTTTGGGGCTTTGAGTTTGAATCTTGATATCGCCTTATGTGGGTTTTTATTTTTTGGCTCCTAGTGCCTGAAAACTATCCAACTGTATATGTTACTTTTTCAGTTTCAACTATTTCAGCATAGTTTTTTTTAATGGAAAATTAGGATAAATGCCTCGTTATAAAATTAATTGACAAATGATTCGTAAGATATTCAGATATTGGATTACACAAATTAGAAGTTAAGTTGTTAAAAAAACATTATGAGTAATTTGCATTTAGGAAAAAGGAATTGTACATAAAGAAAATTTAGTTGTACAAATAAGAGATATCACGCAAGAAAAGATAATTGCATACAAGTGAACATGGATTACGTATGAAAGAAATTAAGTTGCATAGTCCTTATGAATTATTTTCCAAATAATTTTTCTCAATTTTTCTCTCTTTTTTTGAGTCCGCGTTAGCTGCCGAGCAGATCGGCGAGGACTGGAAGCTCATCTCCAAAAACGGCGACGTTTGGATTTTAGTGATCCAATCGTGGCATTTTCTTTCCCCTCCTCAGTCCCCCTTCCCTCTTCTCGTCCCTCATATCCTCACCCCCTGCGTTTAGACCCGTAGAGATGGGATTCAATTCCTTGCAATCGCAACTTCCATCATCGAACAAGGTGGCTCATTTCGCAAAATCATATGGTAATATCTCTACTAAAAGCGAACGGGTCAAACGTTTCGGTTTATTATCAATGGGGAGGTGAAAGTTTAACTTCATCAACACAGTCAGACAGGGAACCATAACTTCTCGGATTCTGGATTTTGGCTTCTTGTTATTACTCTGTTTTTTTATGGCTTTTTTAGAACAGAGAATGAAATGATGATGATAGAGACAGCTTCTATATCCAAAAGGACAGAACATAATTATACCTCTGACGCCATCGCTTCCTGTAACGAAAGATGAAGTTGAAGATGGTTGCGACAATGTACGATGATGACAGTTGCAATTGCAAGGAATTGAATCTGACCTCTTTGGGTCTGAAGTCTGAACGCGGGGGCTGAGAATATGAGGAAGGAGGAAAGAAAGGATGAGGAGCTTCAAGTGCTCATAGATCACGGTGGCCGACATGGCGGCCGTGTAATATACTTTCGCTGCAAGAAAAACATGAGATCTGATCTTTGACTCTCCTCAAAACCAGAGTTCATCATTCTGCCAAATTGATCGCAAAATCCTCACCAATTGTAAAATCGTAGCTCTTTTTAACCGGACTCAGTTCTTTTTCTGGGTTTTATTTATAATTGTTTTGGGGTAAAAGTGAAAGCAGGATTTAAACTTACAAACTTGTAAGTTATGAACCAATTTCTTACTATGTTAGTTCATTTATAATTTATAATTGTATCAATGATAAATTGTTTGTGCGAAATTATTGTGTTCTTTAAAATCATAAAATGGGCTTGGTATACAGATTTAGCCCAATTATAAAATTTGTGAAGGGCTAGTGGGGAGCGCGGGGAACCATGGCTTTAAGGGCAATTTGAAATAGAAAAATTCTTTTTATGAGAACGACATTATCAGATTAATCTATCTCTTCAATGTATTAAAAAATTTATTTACTACCTACCGTACTAAATATAGTATTTTATTTGTAATATAGTTTATATTATAAATTAAATCTTATATTTAAGACCAGAAGTAGTATATCATAATAAAATAAAGTTGATTATTAAGATTAAATTTCTTTATATTTTTTCCAATTGTATAGGATTGTGTTCGTGTGTATAAATTTAGTCAATTGCTCATAATTATGAAAACAATATAGTTTTACTTAAAATTAGTTAGGTATATTATTATACGATCTGTACTTACAAGTTTACAGTAACTAATTAATTTGTTGAAATTAGCTAGTCCATGACTTTTTTGCCGGGCTTAACTGCTTAATAAGCTTAGCATTGATAATATTTTCAAAAATATTAGAACACTTCAAGAAACTATAGCCTCAGTGATGAGACATTGTTCTCCGTTCATTCCTTAGCTTAGTTATGTAAAACAGAACAAAAGAAAATAGAATTTGAGTACCTTTCTAAAACAGTTTTCTCGCTCGAGTGATGAAGTCTATCATTACTAAGTACCTTAATAAAATTTTTCAATGAATTAGCTGAATCAAAATGAAGATGTCAACATGGTAGAAATGAATGAAACTTTATTATTCTAAGCGCATGTGTCATTATAAAAAGTTAACACACAAACAAAAAATGCCAATAAATTACAATTTTGTACATTTTTTATCCTATTAATTTAGAGTTTTTAATATTTATTGAGCTTAATTGATAATTATTTGATTTTATTAAATAATTTTAAGTTCTTAAGTTTTTAATTTAATGCATAAATTTTCTTTTTAATATTTTGCGCATGTGGTATTTAATTTTATTATATTGATGCAGGTTTTTTGGGAGCTAATTTTGAAACCATCGATGGTTCAGTTCAAGAATTTATTTTGGAAACACTTTGTTTGGTAAGGTGATTTTGGAACTTTTGTTAATTATATATGCATTATAGGAGTTGAGAGAATGTATGCACTACATCTAAAAACAAATTAAGTGATGAAACTAAGGAATGTCTGAAAATCCGGATCTAAAAAATTAACATCTGTTAATGTCAGGAACTTAATCCTAGAATAGTTTCATTAATGAAAAAACAACTTTTCTCCTTTTTTTTGCCCCCATTTTTGATGACATTCTCGTGTCATCTCCGTGGGAGAGAACCATCAAAATTGGGAAAATCATGTTTGACTTTTCACACTCGAAAATGTTGGCTTTGATTTGTAGGTGGAAACACTCGCAAATTAAAACTTGAGGCTTCGGTGGCCTCAGGAATATATAAGAAATCCATATTTGCGAGCCAATATCCTTGTTAAAGGTTTGAGTAATGGTAAATATGATCAAGTCAAATAGCTTTCCAATCTAACAAATTAAAACATAACTTCTACAAAACGTACAAGTTAAAAAAAAAACTACCTTATATATATTACACATATAACAATATCCATTCTCACATTCAAACCAAAATAAAAAGAACAAATAAGATGTTGAACTACACACACACACACACACATCTCCTTTCACACCATATACTATTGTATAGCAATCACCTAGCTGCGAGGGTAGTGAGCTGCCCAGAATGATTGATTGGATGATTTTGTAAACCATTTGAATTGGCATGATCTATTTCCATAGCTAAATATTCTTTTAGTTCATGCAACACATAACTAATATCTGGCCTTTGGAGGGACGGTAGTGCAATGCATGACATTGCTGTCTCAACAGCTTTCCATGCAGAACCAACATTAAATTCACCTGTCAGTCTTGTATCAACAATGCTTTGGATATCCCCACTGTCAATATTAGGACGGATCCAATCAACTATAAAACAATTACTCTCCAGTTCTCTTCTTATTGGAGGATGACCTGTGATTAGTTGAAGAAGAATCATCCCAAAACTGTAGATGTCACTTTTTTTATTTAGGTTTCCAGATCTTTGAAATCTGTAATGCCAATAATCAGTTAGTCTATAATAGTTCTCTTTTGAGGCCATTAAAGCCAAATTTGATGCCATTAACTAAACACAATTTGATAAAACAATAACAAATAAATGAACCTTAGCTCTAAATTAGCCTTTTCCCTCAAAGCTCTAGGAACTGAACCTGTGAGCTTGTTTCCTGCAACATTACCACAAGAGGAAAAAGATGAAATAAATGGGAATTCATACATACATGACTTCATTGTCTGAGTATATATGAAAGCTGCAATGTAATATTAGGGTCTTACAGGAATTTCAAATTAGAAAGAGTTGTAAGGAATTCTGGTAGTAGCCCAGTAAATTCATTGTTCGACAAATCTCTGTGAACATGAGGTAACAAGTGTTGTTCATAATATCCAACATCATGAACAACATAATAATATTTGAAATATTTAGATCCCATCTAAATTAAGTAACAACTCACAGGGACTCCAATTTTTCCAAATTGGCAAATGATGTTGCTATTCGTCCCATTAATTTCATTGAGTTCAAGTTCCTACAATGTGTAATTTGCAATTTGTAATAGCTGTTAACCACTAAAGGTGAGGAAAAAAAAATGAGAGTGTAATTTGTAGCTTGTAATTAACTGTGATACTTGACTATATGTGCATGATTTCGGATATTTTATGAACAAAACCCTAAACTATAGAATGGGGCATTTTATTATCTTCTTAAACAATTTTTGTATACGCAAGATATTTTCCTTGAATGATTCAAATATATAATGGATCATAAACAAGAGCAATATTATATTATGGCACAACTTACAATGAAACGATCCTTGTAGTATTGCTAGAGTTGCAACTCAGACCATCCCATGCAAAGTTAGATGGAGCACATGGGTCACCTTGCCAACTGATTTTAGAGATCCCGTAAATAAGCTTGATTTCCTTGATGGTATTAACTGCATAATTTTCAATAATAAACACAACCAAAAAGGTTCAAATTTTATCTTTCTTTTTTCCTTTCGTTAATTAATTTATTGATAATTAAAAACTAAAAAATGATGGGTGAAAACAATAAGAGTAATATATACTATCTTGTGTAGCAGTAGGGAAATATTGTTGAGGGAGAACATGCATGATAAATTTCAAGGGCATTGATGATAGGAGGAGCATCAGAATTAGTTGTTGCTCTAACTGTGAAGCCGATTGAAGCACACAAATTGTGAACAATGCAAGTGCATGTGTCCATCAAGTAATAAAGAGTAAGTATAGAGTATCGCTTCCACAGAGAATCAGATAAAATAGTGTTTAGTCATTAAACTTCCTATTTTTAATTAAGTTAAGCAAGCTGAATTATGGTTGATCAGATAAAATGAATAAAGGCCGAAAAAATTCAATATTAAAGGCAACATAGAGTTACTAATCTCTTATTAGTTTCAGAGACTTTTACTTTTATTTAACTAATTAGTCTCAATGTTAACTTAGTTAATCTAGAGTATTTATAGCCAAAAGTGTTTTTTGATCCACTTATAATCCTCTCCTAAATAATAAGGTTATGTCTAACTCAAATACTTAAGAGGATAAATTGATTTCACTCTTCATCAGTTATATGGGGCTTCTAGGTATATTTCTATCCTACTTGCAAATCGGATAAAAATTTAATCTCATATTACTCAATCCTAGAGCCTAATTAAGATTTCCTTTGTCAAGGCTAACCTCAATGCTCAAACTCATATTTAACGATGGCCAAACATTAAATAGATATATTAAACCAAGATTAAGTACCCAAAATTAACATCAAGCATAATTAATTAAATGAAAACAAAGTCTAATCCATAAGTAAGTTCATAGCGACTCTAGATTAAAGAAAAGAACTAGCCACACATGGCCAAAATAAAATCCATAACGTGAAAGATAAATATTTAGAATGAAATAACAGAATAAAAAGATGAAGAGCGGAGAGCAAAATGGTGTATAATCCTTCTTTCTTTAGCTGCTGTCGCCAGAAAAAAAGAATGAAGAATCAGATATCAAAGCTTTGCTGCTGTCCTACTAAATTCGCGTTGCCGCTAAGACCGTTCATCCCAATTCCTTGCTGCCGTCACAGTGAAAACTGAGGTTTACGAATGGATTCCACTGCTCTTTGCTCGCTGCCCCCTCTTTCATTGCACCCCCAGTTCCTATTTATAATGGTTGTGCCTCTTCTCTCCCTTGGATCACCACTTCTTATCCATATACATCCATATATATCCAATATAATATAATATATTATATCATTTGCCTTGCTTTACTGTTGCCATGGTTATCCTTTTATCCCCTCCTTTTATTCAATCAATATAATACAATATATTATATTATTGCAGTCGCAATTGACTTATTCCTTGAATCCGCATGCCTCACGGCTCATCACCCCTTTATATCCTTCAATATAATACATCATATTATATCATAATTGATGATCAGCTCCTTCCATGAATTTCACGCCTCTGAGTGAAAGTTGCTCCTCTCTTGTTTTATCTTCTACTTGTGATATTTTCTTCTCTCAATAATTTTATAGGGAAAATCCCAATTAAATCCATCTGAAATAATGAAATTCCAATTAAGGCTTATACTTTTAACAAATTCCTAATTAGGGCAAGAGGCTTAATTAGGGATTTTCAAATGTTGCAAAAAGACCAAAATGCCTCTTTGTAATCAAAAAGGAAAATTGAATGTAGGTGTAAGCCTAATTTTAGTTTTAATTATTCTAGTAGATTTACTAATGAGGATGTGGTCTTTCTTAGACTTTATGTCAAAGTTGTGTTTCGTACTTGTGAATGTTATGTCAACTCTAGAATTTATGGCCCTTTAGTTATTTTTTATATAATAAAAATTTGATATTGAATAAATCTTGGAGACCAAAAAATTGAAGATGAATTGATGAGTCTCAATGTAATTTTTGAAACAGTAAAATTAATTTTGATAGATATTCAAGAATTTCATGAATCTTTTATTTGATTTTTTCTCACACAAAAAAAAATCTTTGATCCTGTTAATCTTTGACATTTGAAATCGTAAAATTTTTATTAGTTCCCATATTTTTGTAATTCTATGGATATCTAGAAATTATGTATTTTTTTTATCTTGACTCTTCAATTTTTTTATTGGCCATAATCGTGATTTTTTTTATATGATAATATTTTTGGCCAAATTTTCATATGATAATATTTAAAGAAAAAACATGTTAGTTAAATTCAATTAAAAGAATTAAAACTAAAATTAGGCTTTTTAATCACAGAGGGCATTTTGGTCTTTTAGCAACATTTAGAAATCTCCAATTAGGCCTCTTGGCCTAATTAAGAATTTGTTAAAAATGTAGGCTTAAATTAGGATTTTTCTATTTCAAATGGATTTAATTAGAATTTTTCCAATTTTATATCTCCTGCATTAAAAATAGATTTGAGTAGATTTTACACAAGATCATCTTTTATCCTATCATTGATTTAAAAGAAGAAAATCCATACAAGATAATTAAATAGGTATAAATTATCCACAAATTTTATTGATATAATTTAAAATCTACACCCATTTAGTTATAAAAATAATCATTATCAAATTTTCACACACTTAGCCTTTTGCACTCTTGGGCCGAAAAAAAAAACTCTAGAAGAGAGAGGAGTTAAGAAGAGAGACAAATTGAATTGACTAATAGACTTCAAAGATTAAAGTAGACATAGCTTAGGAACCAAGTTTACAATGCAAGTCATCAATCACATATAAAGAAACTCATATTAAGATACAAAGCTTAATAAGGTTGAATTCAAGCAAGATAGTCACTCAAGGAGATAAAGTGTATCACTCAACTTACTAGCATTGGGGTTCTTTTTCACTTAGTTCACTTGCTCAGTTACTCTACCATAGGCTTGTAGTAGTTCTAATTCCCTACCACTGGTTATGTCACATCTAGAAATTTTACAATTGAGAGTAAGAAAATCCCTAGACATTTAAGGGCCAGAATAGTGGAAAGAAATATGAAAATTTGGCAAAATATGTTAGAAATTCCCAAAAATTAGCAAATAACTATGGAAGTTGGGAAAAAGGTCTCTGGACAGTATTCTAGGCTCAAAAGTTGAAATTATGATAGAAAGCAATAATTATTGAATTTTTAGTAATTATTGGATATTGACTAATTAGGTAAATTGGTCAAAAATTAATTATGAAAAATATTTTTGAGCCTTAGAAAATTAAAAAAAAAGTATAAAGTGACTTGAGAATTATAAGACATTGTACAAGTGGTTTTATTCCCAAAATACCCCTGTTTAATCTTTAAAGGAATTTAAAGTCCAATTATGCTAATTAGGGTTTTATTTGGGGAAATTCTGAATAAATACTTATGACGTTAGATAAATCCCGAAAAAATTCATGGAACTTATATGGGATTTATAAGAGATTACAAAATAATCAAGAAAGTTTTAAAGAGCCTAGAGACCCGAAAAAGTAACTCCTGAGCAAGAAAACTAATATAGTAAAGAACTTTTCTTTTAATGATATAAATCAATTATGGGAGTAAAGGAGGGCTCTTTTGGAAGAGTAAATTGATAAAAAAATGTTAAGGATCTGAAAAAAATTAATTAGGAAGCTTAGATCACTGATATAGAAAAAGACAGAGCTGATTCAGTATCAAAATAGTGCTAAAAAAGATAAAAAGTACACACATTTTTGCTTGGCTCTCATTGTGCCACTTGTCAAACTAGGGGTAGAGAGGATTTTGACTTTTAAAATCCATTTCTTTTGGAATTAAATAAAGAAAAGAGAACATGCAAGAAGAGATCTTAGCTTGACGCATCATCAATGTAATTTTCTTGAACTTGGATGGCAATTAGTTAATGCTTAGCTTATAAATAGCCACCAAGCCCCCTTCATTTTTGGCCAAAGTGAAGAACCCTAGGGTAAACTCTTGCCATTTGGATTCTTGAAGAACAACTAAGAGAAAGCTACCTCCTTTGATCAACTAAGCTTGGATATAAGGTTAATAGGTTGTTCTATGTTGTTCCTTGCCTTGTTTTCTTGAGTTTTATGGTTGAAATTGGTGATTTCTCCTTAGCTTTGGTGCTGGCTGAATTGTGTAAGGGTTGGGAGAGAAAGAATATGATGTTAAACCTAAGTTAAATGCATGGATTACAAGTTGTTTCAAGTGGTATTACATGATTATGGAATGAAATTCATGTTAAGGAACCTATATGTATATTTTGGCCAAACAGTGATTGTGCCCTAGGATGAGATTTTGCATGTTTTGATGCTTCCATTGGCTTTAAAATGAAGGTTTGTGTAGGGTAAACCTATGCCATAAGCATTGGAATGCATTAAAATGAAATTGAAAATTGAAGGGCTATAATCACTACCACTCGGCCAAATCAAGATCATTAGTGAGGAGATGTGTATTGAAAATTTTAAACTCATATTTGGATTCTACAAGAAAAATTATGTAGGGTTGACCTATTGGGATAATTTTTAGGTCGTTGGAAATCAATTCCAAAAATTCAAGAACAAAGGAGTTAAGGGTTTCTTGAATTTCACATTATGTTTGTGTAGCATAGTTGTGATGTGTGGTTGCCCCTTTTTAAATGTGATTTTAGGCTTTGACATTTGTGGAAGAAAGGACCAAGATCAAGAGGCAAGGAAAGCATTGGAGGAAAGGTAGCAAGATTTAATTAACTTTAATGTTAATTGTTGTATTGATTACTATGCAATTTCACGTGCTATTATGTGATTGAGCTAGATGATGATGATGATGATTGTGTAGTTATACTCCTTGTTTTAAGTGCCTTGGCTATTGCATGTTAAAGTGCTACATGTATGAGGTTAAGTAGTTTCCTATTAATAGCAAAAGGTTGGAATGCTTGTAATTGATACATGCTTGATGTTATAGTTGATTTTCTATTGCTACTGGGATTTCTTTGAAATCTCATTCCTTCCAAATGTAACTCTTTTCCATAGGGGCTGAACCATCAAGAAGAAGGGAGTAAGTTGAGAAAGCTCATGTTATATGCATGTTGAATTATGGTTTTATTTTGGGAATTGTATTGAAGTTTATGATGTTGTAACTCTGTTAAGACAGCGAGTTTGTGACTCTGTTTTGAATATGTTGTCTACCTTGGATGATCATGATATTTTGCAGAGTAAAGTACACTCCATGTGCTTCAGATTGATAGGTAACATGTTTTAAATGGATGTGTGTATGATTTTTGGTGATTTTTTAAAGTTAAGGTTAAAATTTTGGAAAGTAGTTTTTACCAATTGGAACAGTGGTAAGTTCCACAAAAATCTGGAACTAATTCTTAAGGAACTAGGACATGAGATTATTTTTCCTTGAAAAATCATTCAAAGAGCTTTCTATAGAATTTTGAAGTACTCCGTTTCAAGTTTTTTAGAATTAGTTACGAATTTCCAAAGTTGGATAGAAAATCTGGATTTACCAAGTGAATAGTAACTTTGTGAAATCAGCGTCCAACTTAAGAATTTTTGAGGTTAAGACCATCCAAAGTGGTCAAACTTGGCTCTAAATGGACCATAAGGTATCCTAGATGTAAGCTGTGACAGGTTACATGTGCATTCAATAATCAAGAGGACTTTGTGGCTCGTAATGCATAGGGTATGAAAATAATTTCTCAAGAATGCATGAAATTGATGGGAAGGATTGAAGTAAAATAACTTGGAGTACAAATATATATGCAGTATTTATTGATAAATGAGTTTCTTATCAAGTAATTAGGGTGTAAGAGTGATTTTTCCCCTTTTTTTGCAAAATTTTTTTTCTGTTTTTTTGGTTTTTCCTTTTTTTTTGGTGGAAATTTTCTTTTTCTTTTCTTTCTTGTTTTTTTTTTTTACTTTTTTTCCCTCTACACCCTAATTACTAACATGTGTTTTACATGATCATGAGGATACAATATTATATAATGTTATTTATTAATGATAATACTCCAAGTAGGGTGGGTTAAAATAAAATAACTAATGCATTTTTGTATGAAAGGTGTTATGTGATGAATCATGAATGAAAGAAAAGGCCAGCAGGCTGAAAGGAGTAACAAAGGATGTATATGTTAAATGGTTGGCCATTTGGTCTAGCTGGCTAGCAATATGAATGCCTTAATCATATTAAAGAATTTCACATGTGTAAGGTAGTTGTGAAAAGAACTAAGACAAATTCTGAAAAGTAAGTTGAAACAAGTGAAAAAATCACACTAGAATCGAATGTTCAAGCTCAAAATTCCTTCCAACAGGGTTATACTATCTTACTCAATTCAATCAAGCTAAACAATGCATCATCACATAAATTTTAGTATATGCAATCAACTTCCCTTCATGTAACTAGCTCCTAAGATATACTTATTTAAATCCCCGTAGTCTCAAAATCAAAGCAAAATACCTCTTTTCCTTCCAAATTATTCAAGTTACTAAAAAAAAATTCTTAAACCCTTAAATTTCTTAGATCACCTCCCCGCACTTAGATCAAACATTATCCTCAATGTTGCAGAAAATATAAAAAAGAAAGAAACTAGTACTTCTCTAATTAAATTGTCAATTAGGAGTTAGAGGACCTCCTCAAGTTCCTTTAATGTCGCATTCCCTTCCTGTAACAAGTCTTTGGAGGGGCATGGTGAAAAACAAGGGGAAAAAAACAGAGAGAGCAAAATAAATATGGGAGTGGTCGTCAGCAAAACAAGATTGAACAAATGAAATAGAAAAAGGAAAAAAAACTAAGTGAGAGCAAAATTTATTGGGTTGCCTCCCAATAAGCACTATATTTAGAGTCTTTAGCCTGACTATATCAGCAAATTAGGAAGGCGTAAATAAGTAGTAGACCATCTTTGGTCGATCTACTTCACCATGATAATGTTTGAGTCTTTGCCCATTCACCTTGAAGCAATCACCTGTTCTTTCATCTTTGACCTCCACAGCTCCACTTGGTGCCACAGAAATCACCCTAAAAGGCCCTGACCATCAAGATTTAAGCTTTCCAGGAAACAACTTCAAACATGAGTTATAAAGCAAAACAAGCTGTCCAAATTCAAATTTTCTAATTAAAATGTGCTTGTCATGAAATCTTTTGGTCCTCTCTTTATAAATTCTAGAACTTTCATAAGCTTGTAGTCAGAATTCATCTAACTCATTTAGTTGCATCAATCTTTTCTCACCCACCTGATTCATATCAAAATTTAATTTCTTTACAGCCCAAAATGCCTTATGCTCTAGCTCAATAGGCAAGTAACATGCTTTTCCAAAGATCAATTGATACGGAGACATACCAATAGGAGTTTTAAAAGTTGTCCTATAAGCCCATAATGCATCATTGAGCTTATCTAACCAATCCTTTCTAGTAGGACTTACAGTCTTTTCCAAAATCCTTTTAATTTCTCTGTTTGATACTTCACATAGGCCATTGGTTTAGGGATGGTGTGCCAAAACCATTTTATGAGTGGCTCCATATTTCCCAAGCAAACTTTTAAACAATTTGTTATTAAAATGAGTCCCCCCACCACCAATGATTGCTTTTGGTGTGCCAAAACAAGTAAAAATGTTCTTTTTCAAAAATCGCATAGCCGTATTAGCATAATTAGGATGGCATGCCATAGCCTCAATCCACTTACTCACATAATTAACAGCAACTAGAATATATTGATGTCCGCTAGATGAAATAAAAGGCCCTATGAAATCAATTCCCCAGACATCAAATAACTCTACCTTGAGAATGCCTGTTTGGGGCATTTCATGCCTTTTTGATATGTTACCTGTTCTTTGACATGCATCACAATGATTAGCACATCTCTTATATAAAAAAATTTCATCCCACACATATAATTTCGCATCATGCAAAAACTTTTTCTTGTGATATGAATTGACATTAGGTGGAAGAACACCACAAACTAGAAAATTCACATAATTAGCATACCAAGGCAATTCAATACAGGTAATAACAAACACATGTTCATCAGGAAAGCTATCGTTAATCTCATTTTTCATCTTTCTCATTCTCTAACCTAGACAAATGATCAACAACATGATTTTCACAACCTTTCCTATCAATTATCTAAATGTCAAATTCTTGCAATGATAAGATCCATCTAATTAACCTAGGCTTGGACTCTTTTTTACTTATTAGATATTTGATTGCAGTATGATCAGTAAAGATAGTAACTTTAACACCCATCAAATAAACTTCAAACTTATCAAAAGCAAACACTATAGCTAGTAGCTCTTTTTTAATACTAGTGTAATTTACCTGAGCTTCTGTTAGAGTCTTACTAGCATAGTAAATTGGATGAAATACATTTTCCTTCCTTTGCTCAAGAACAGCTCCAACTGCATAGTCGCTTGCATCACACATCACCTCAAATGGCAATAACAAATCAGGAGCAATAATGATTGGAGTAGATATCAATTGTCTCTTAAGCTCTTTAAAAGATTTCGAACAATCTTGATCAAAGTTGAAGGGTGTATCTTTCTCAAGTAGCTGACAGAGTGGCTTGGTAATCTTAGAGAAATCCTTGATAAATCGATGATAAAAGCTAGCATGGCCTAAGAAACTTCTCACAGCCTTCACATTTGATGGAGGGGGAAGTTGCTCAATAACAGAGGTCTTTGCTTTATCTACTTCTAAGCCCTTTTTCGACACCTTATGACATAAGACAATTCCCTTAGTGACCATGAAGTGACATTTTTCCCAATTAAGTCTGAGGTATGTCTCTTCACATCTTTTCAACACCATCTCTAAGTTCAGTGAGCAACTATCAAATGATTCACCAAATACAGAAAAATCATCCATAAATACCTTCATTTTCTCTTCTATCATGTCAGAGAATAAGCTCATCATAGACCTTTGAAAGTGGCAGGTGCATTGTAAAGACCAAATGGCATTCTTCTAAAGGCAAACGTGCCATAAGGACAAGTAAATGTTGTTTTCTCTTGATTATCAGGATGTACAGCAATTTAATTGTATCTTGAATACCCATCCAAGAAGCAAAAGAATTCCTTGCCAGCTAATTAGTCTAACATTTGGTCAATAAAAGGAAGTGGAAAATGATCCATCCTTGTGGCTTCATTGAGCTTCCTATAGTCCATACAATTTTGCCAACTAGTAACTGTTCGAGTAGGGATGAGCTCGTTTTATTCATTAGTGATTATCGTCATGCCACCTTTCTTAGGAACACATTGCACAGGGCTAACCGACGAGCTATCAAAAACAGGATAAACAATTCCAGCATCCAACCACTTAATAATCTTTTTTACCACTTCTTTCATCATAGGGTTTAGCCTCGTTTGGTTCTGAACAGACTTCTTATGATTATCTTTGTGTAGAATCTTATGCATCACTATAGCAGGGCTAATTCCCTTAATATCTCTTATTGTCCATCCTATAGCCTTCTTATTATTCTTTAACACCTGTAGTAACCACTCTTCTTGCTCTAGTGAAGGTGATGATGAAATTACTATTGGTAATGTTTTAGAATTTCCCAAATATGCATACTTCAGATGAGATGGAAGTGGCTTCAACTCTAACATTGGGGGTTACTCTAAAGAAGGTTTAATAATTGGAGTCGTTCGTGATTCTAGCCCTAAGGATTCAAATTGCCAACATCTCTTAGTGAATGTTGTAAAGGTGCTTAAAACATGCTCAATTTGCCCTTAGCTACTATCCTCCCCAATATCAATTTCAGCTAACAATGTTCAGAGCGGGTCATTATTAGCAAATGAATCTAACTCCTCTTGAATCAACTCATCTATCACCAAAATACTTGCACATTGCTCCACAATATTTGGATGCTTCATTATTTTCTCCATATTGAAGGTGATTTACTTATCACCAAATCATAGACTTATTGTCCCTTTCTCTACATCCACTAATATTTTTGCCGTAGCCATAAATGGTCTTCTAACAATTAGTGGAATCTCTTTGTCCTCTTCAATGTCGATGATGCTGTATAGATATGAGAGACTTCTGTTAGCTAACTGAAGTGTAACAATCGTAGGACTAGCTTCTTCAAAATGGAGCTTCTTAAAAACAGAGAGGGCTATAAGGTTCACAATAGACCCCAAGTCACATAGTGCACAACCTTTAAATTGTTCCCCAATAAAGCATGGGATAGAAAAAGAACTAGGATCCTTACACTTCAGAGGGTTGTGGGGCTTAATTATGCTAGTTGTCTCCTTTGTCAGTGCCACAGTTACATACTCAGTAAGGCATCTCTTCTTGCTTAACATATCCTTGAGCAACTTGGTATATTTGGGCATTTGCTCTAATGCTTCAGAAAAAGAAATATTGATAAGAGGTTACTTGAAGAATTCCAAAAACTTAGAGTATTGTTGATCTTCAACCTGCTTCTGAAACACTTGAGGGAAAGGAAGTGGTAGCACTACTTTAGGATCCCCGATTGCCTTCTCCTTACTAGCTATACCATTAGTTTTGCTCTCATCAATAGTTGGTTCATTCTTGCTAGGCTCAGAACGTACCTCGGTCGTTTGCTTCGACTTTGATGCCTTAGGAGATATATGGGGTAATTGCTTACCACTCCTCAAGGTGATTGCGTTGCACTCCTCTTTACCATCTTTATGAGGATTAGGTATAGTACTGCTTGGTAACCCTCCTTGTTGAAGCCCATTCACAGCAATTGCGATTTGCCCCATTTGCACCTCAAGATTCCTAGGTGATGAGTCTACTCTTGCATTAATGTTGGCTTGCTCTTATTACTTTTAATCTGAGAAGACATGAGCTTAGCCATCATTTCCTCTAAATCAACCTTGAGCACTTGGTTAGGGATATGTTGCCTTCACAATTAAGAAAATCCAAGAGGTGAGACTTGCCTTACACCAGAAGTTGACACTTGATCAAGTGTTGAACCATGTTTCCAAGACAAGTTAAGGTGATTTCTTAATCCTGGGTTGTAACTGTTGGCATAAGGATTGTTTTGATTATTACCCTAAAAATTTCTAGCATAGTTTATTGGCTCTACTTGTTGAAAGGTAGGGCACTATTAAGAAGCATGTCCATCTCCACAATAATCACACAGAGTATACATGGCATTAACCCCTAGTTGTCCTCTATTGGATTTGTCAACTCGTGCTTCTAAGAGTAGTCAAATCTTCTGTTCAGAGTATTGAGCATAGCTATCACTTGTGAAGAAGAGTCATCATTAGCTTGTTCTACAGATTTCACTTGTTTCTGTTCATTACTATTCTGAATATAATCAGTAGCCAAATCATCCAAGCAACTCTAAAATGGTTCACCGGTTGCTTCGTAATTCCTCCATTTGTAATAGGATTTAATTCAGATTTGGACTCAGGTGCCAACCGACTACTAAAGATCTGAGGTAGAATCCATTTCTCTTGATTATGTCCCAGGCTTTGTCTAGCTAGCAACTTGAATCTTTCCCAAGCTTCACATAGGTGCTCATCAAACTGTTGGCTAAAATTCATCAATTGGGCTCTAGCATCCACTGTCTTGTTATGAGGGAAGAATCTGGATCAAAACTTCTCTTCTAAGTCATCTCATGATGAGATACTACCTTCTTTCAAGTTGTCGAGCCATTCTTTAGCCTTCCCTTATAAAGAGTAAGGAAAGAGCCGGAGATGAATGACATCACTAGGAACTCCATTCTGCTTAAAAGAATCACACACATCAAGAAATTCGACTAGATGTCGATTGGGATCCTGATTACTGTATCGTCCAAATTGCCCAATAAATTCCAACATTTTAAGCATTGTTTGCTTAATCTCAAAATTAGTGGCTTGGAATTATGGCACTTTGATTCCTGATTGGTATCCTTAGGGTTGTTTTCCCAAGAATTCATTGACACCCAATCTATCATTTTCATCTTCAGCCATCTCTTTTTCTATAGTTTGGCGAATTGTATGCTTAGGTGTTGTTGTCTCTAGAAGCTCGTTCACGCTTCTTGTCTTCACAGGTGTATTTCTTGATCTATGTGGCATATACTATGAATGACTGCAAAGAGAAAGAGGGAAAAGATCAAGAATTGAATTGGACAATGGAAAAAAAATTAAATTAAAATTCAAATAAAGAAAATTGTCCTAACTATCAAAATAAGCAAAAATAAATTAAGAAAAAAAAAACTAAATGCTTAAGCTTAAATTACTAAAGGTCCTCTAATTCTAAAAACTAGTTGCCGTAATTCCCTGGCAATGACGCCAACAACTTGATGCACACAAATTGTGAATAACACAAGTGCACGTGTCGATCAAGTTATAAAGAGTAAGTATAGAGTATCATTCCCACAGAGAATCAGATAAAATAGTGTTTAGGCATTAAAGTTCTTATTTTCAATTAAGTTAAGCAAGCTGAATTATGGTTGATCAGATAAAACGAATAAAGGCCGAAAAAATTCAATATTAAAGGCAACCTAGAGTTACTAATCCCTTATTAGCTTGATAGACTTTTACTTTTATTTAACTAATTAGTCTCAATGTTAACTTAGTTAATCTAGAGTATCTATAGCCAAAAGTGTCTTTTGATCCACTTATAATCCTCTCCTAAATAATAAGGTTATGTCTAACTCAAATACTTAAGAGGATAAATTGATTTCACTCTTCATCAGTTATATGGGGCTCCTAGGTATATTTCTATCCTGCTCGCAAATCAGATAAAAATTTAATCCCATATTACTCAATCCTAGAGCCTAATTAAGATTTCCTTTGTCAAGGCTAATCTCAATGCTCAAACTCATATTTAACGATGGCCAAACATTAAATAGATATATTAAACCAGGATTAAGTATCCAAAATTAACATCAAGCATAATTAATTAAATGAAAACAAAGTCTAATCCATAAGTAAGTTCATAGCTACTCTAAATTAAAGAAAAGAACTAGCCACACATGGCCAAAATAAAATCCATAACGTGAAAGATAAATATTTAGAATGAAATAACAGAATAAAAGATGAAGATCAGAGAGCAAAACGGTGTATAATCCTTCTTTAGCTGCTGTCGCCAGAAAAAAAAAGAATGAAGAATCAAAGACCAAAGCTTTGCTGCTGTTCCACTAAATTCACGTGACCGCTAAGACCGTTCATCCCAATTCCACGCCGCCGTGACAGTGAAAACTGAGATTTACGAATGAATTCCACTGCTCTCTGCTCATTGCCCCTCGTTCATTGTACCCCCAGTTCCTATTTATAATGGTTGTGCACCTTCTCTCCCTCGAATCACCGCCTGTTATCCATATCCATCCATATATATCCAACATAATATAATATATTATATCATTTGCCTTGCGTTACTATTGCCACGGTTATCCTTTTATCCCCTCCTTATATTCAATCAATATAATATAATATATTATACTATACTATTGCAATTGCAATTGATTTATTCCTTGAATCTGCATGCTCCACGCCTCATCATCCCTTTATATCCTTCCATATAATATATTATGTTATATCATAATTGATGATCAGCTCCTTCCATGAAATTCACGCCTCTGAGCGAATGTTGCTCCCCTCTTGTTTTATCTTCTGTTTGTGATATTTTTTCTCTCTCAATAACTTTATATCTCCTGCATTAAAAATAATAAAAGATTTGAGTAGATTTTATACAAGATCATCTTTTATCCTATCATTGATTTAAAAGAAGAAAATCTATACAAGATAATTAAGTAGGTATAAATTATCCACAGATTTTACTGATATAATTCAAAATCTACACCTATTTAATTATAAAAATAATCATTATCACCGATCCCTTTAGTCATCTTCTTGGAACTTAGTGTGATAGGTTTCAAATATTGGAGAGCAAGTTTAGAGGAGGAATCTTTATCATCAAAAGTGACATTGATAACTCTCTTGTGGCCAGAAGGAAGCTTTTGAATTTCTCCAAAGCAAAGGAACATATAATATTGAATAAGTATATCAGTATCCGTCTCATTTAAGGATAAGAGATTAGAATGATTCATCATGGGCTGTATAGCAGTGGATAATGCTTCCCATGGTAGTTCATAAGTGGAGTTCTCAGCCTTTACTTCTACCCTTGTTTCTAAGGGAACAAAATAGTTGCCAAAGTTATATTTGGTCCACAAGCGGTCATACGCATCCTCCTCATACCTATATTGCCAAAAACAAATTAGAAAAGATTAAGGTGCATCTAGCAGCCGAAATATTTTTTCAGGTGCATTCAGTATCCTAAAGTATTTTGTGATGCATCCAACACCTTGAAGTATTTCTTTTAGTGCATCCATCATCTTGAAGTATTTTTTTGTGCATCTAGTGCCCTAAAGTAATTTTTAGGTACAATTAGTACTCAAAAATATTTTTTGATCGATCTAGCATGAAGGCAAAAAAAATACTTTAGGGTGCTGAACGCAGCACAAAATATTTCGGTGTACTGGGTGCATCTAAGAAAATACTTCAGGATGCTACATGTACCTTAATGCAATTGAAAAAGTTAGTGCAGAGTAGTAGAAAGAGAATAATACATATTAATTTTGTGCTGGAGCCTAGAACTGGGGATGCCATAGGCTCTTCGGTTTAGAGATAAGGGAAGAGGAGCGAGATAGAGAGAGTTGTTCAATGGCCTTAATTCCAAAGTGTTGATGAAAGGTGTGCCTTGTCCTGCGTTTGTCAAGCATACTTGTACCGTCTCAGTGGTGGCATCTTGTTGTATCATTATTATCTCATATAACTGCGTATCATTTGAATTAACTGTGGCCTAATAATTGACCCCTAGGTGGAGATCGAACACTGGAACTTGGTTTTTGGAGTCATAATTGCCATATAAAGATATGGCTCTCACCAAATATTTGTTCTTGTCTTGATTTGGTTTTAGAGCATAACAGTTTCTTTTCCCTTCCAGGAAACTTCTTACAATTAATAGCTGTCATGCTATAGTTGGATTATCACTGTAATTAAAGCCTTGGGCTAGTTATTGATTGGTTCCACTGGAAATGAAGCCTTCATCTGTCTGATACCAAAACCTTGTTTCACTATTTGTGTAATCGTTGCTTGCTCCACAGTCTATGCTTATGAAACCAGCACATTATATTCCTTTGTTTTTATAAAAGGGTCAAGATCCATACATCCAGCGCCCTTCTAAAGTATTCTATGATATGTACAACATAGTACTGAAATATTTTTTAGATAGGTCTAGCACCCTAAATTATATTGTGGTACATCTATAACTAAGTATTTTTTGAGATGTGTCCAAGACTCTGAATCATTTTTTAGTGTATCCAGCATTCTAAATTATTAAATATAAAATTGCACTAAAAAATACTTTAGAGTGAAGA